GAAACTGAACACATGCTCCTTCTGGAAAATGTTACGGATTGAAACGTCTGCAAGCGCAATGGGAAATTTTCTTCACTACTGATGTTAACACAGCTTTCAAGACTGAAGTCTCCCCTTTACGATGAACACTTAAACTTTGATGTACGATTTTTTTTAAGCCACTCTATTGAGCTTTGAATGTACTTCCTACTTTACAGTAACACAAAGTTCACGAGGCTTCTACACGACCGAAATTGTTTCTGTTTCATAAAAAGAATCGTACATCAAGTTTTGAGAGGTCATTGTAAAGGGGAGACTTCAATCTTCAAACTTGTGGTCGATTTATCAGTGAAAAAAATGTTCAATGGTTTTGGAGACGATTCAGTTTTCAACAGTTTCCAATAAACCTATATTTTCAATTTTCCATTTGTTACGAATTGAAAAAGCATGGTAGGAAGAACTGATCGATGAGTTACGAGGGTAAAGACTTCGAGTTTTAAAATAAGTTCAGATTTATCAATAATGTTATCAATAACAAAATTTATAATTAAAAAATATAAAGCTTATAATAATGTAATAAATTTATAATCGTTAATATTGCAATAAAGATATAAAATCGCATTGGCTCTCTTTTAATTCTTTTTTATCATCTTCATTGTTTTATATCAATCTATAGTGATTTTTCATCTCGATTGACCCACTATAAAGTACCGCCAACTTGGCTTTATCAGAACTATTGATATATAAATATTCGAGCATGCTAATATATTAGATGATGCAAGTTTGAAGAAAATTCGTAGCTGTTGTCGCATAATTTCTTTTATAATGAATATAAATATATGATTTCACTGTATTCCGATTCCGATTTTTTAATCATTCATTTCTATGCTTATATAATTACTATATGAATGCTTATGCGTGTCAGTAGACTCCATAAACATTCCGGAAACGGAAAGTATGGAAGATATATCTATTCCTTGCCATGACATTTTTTCCCTTCGAACGTCCATTCGTCCTATCGTGGGTTCGTCGGATTCCAGATGACCGACGTACTGGAACAATTATTTTGTTGCTGTTTGAAATGACTTCAGAGGATCAGTTTTTAAATGACTGTCTCGGGTGAAGGATTTAATGGTTATCCGTATATCATTCTGCCGCTAGCACTTCACCTGTTTGCCCGATTTATCGTTTATAGCACCATCAGTTTCGCTTCAACGTCGCTATAATATATCATCGGCAATTTATTACGTGATTATAGTATGTTGAATGTTTTAACATTCACCGTTTACTGGAGTATATAGATTTTATTCCCTTCCTCATTAAGAGGTGCTCACCCTAAATTCTAGTTAAATTAAGGATCTTGCGCGTTTATTGGACGTGTCGTTGGCCATTTTATGTCTCCTCGCATTATGTCCTGCACGAACAGTTTTGCTTGTTCCAATGCTACGTGAAAATTGTCGCAGTGTAAATAACGATGCAGAATGGTTATAGCATTTTGGTATCATTAAGTAACTAACTAATGTCCAGTACCATTGTCCAGTACCTTTGGTACCAGGTGGCCACTGAAAAACTGAAGGGTTTGCAAAAGTCATTTGTTCGTTTCCAATCCTTTTTATGGAGATTTAAGTGGCTACGTATGATATCCAACGTAAAACTCGTCGATTTCCTCTATTTCAGTGAAAGATCAATTATTAAAACTCAGAGCAAGCAGACGAAGTCTATAGCCTTGGTCATGGAAAATTCTGTGAAAAGAGCCCGTATTTGTGAACAGGAAAATGGTGATCATTTGAGAGATGCTGCTTTTCTCACAAAAGACTAAAAAATGTCCATTAATTATATTTCCAAATAAAATAATAAAAATTTAAAAAAGCACATATTTCTGAAAGTTTTTTTGTTTTATATATCATTCAGTCATTCAGTGGTCAACCTGTGTAAGTGAATATGGAACGTGGAAGAAACTTTCTACAGTCAGGGACAAAAAGAGAAGACACTCTATTAATTTGACAATTTTTATTTTAATTGAATGTAATTTAATTACATTAAATGTAGTCGGGTAAATTAAAATGTTTCACCATTCGATAAATATTTTTTTATAATTGTATATAATTAGTGGCATAAAATGATAAGACATATGTATATCAAATGGAATTTGCAAACTGGTAAATTCTTATTGCAATTTCATTTCATCCACACATATCTCATTATTTTGTTCGACTAATTGTATTCAATTTTTACATTCTTCGAGATAATGTCGAATATTAATATTTTAGTTCACTCGACTAAAAATTATAAACAAAAGTAGTGCCAAAATGTGTACATATGATAGACCTCATTACCGTTAGATATTAATTAAAAATTGTACAATTACTAGGGTGTCTTACATTTTTGTCCCCGACTGTAGTCAGACTTCCGTAAAATGGTCCACAGAGGTAGCATAAATGCATAGAATTTCGTCTCATCCAAGAACTTTCCTCGTTATTTGTGCTACTTTTAATAAAATAAGTACAGTACGCAGTAAAGTTTCGCTTGTCCGAAGGGAGAAGGGTGCTCCAAACTTTTGAATCACACTGCGCCCATTAAACAACAGTGTTTGTTTGGTGTTTCGAGAAAGTTTCTACGACGGACATTCGTGTGGTCAGGGTGACCCATAAATTCACTTGGATTTTTCAATCTTGTTTTAGATCATTGTTCAAATAAAACTTTATCCTACTCCGGTGAGGCAACACAATCACCTTCTTGAACTTTGAACTTACCTAACTTTCTTCAAAAGATATATGAGTGCAATTCTTGAATTTTTCATTAAAACGTTCTCACTTCCTATGGCTGTAAAGTTGTGTCGCATTATACTCAAGAAAAGTGCCGAGATAAAATACTTTCCATCCTCAAAAAAATCGAGAAATTATACGTTTAACCTGCACCGTTGTCAAAATTCAGAACATTCAATTTTCTGATAAAGTCTCGGTACGCAAAAGAATGTAAATATATTCAATTACGAATTCTGAGCGGAGTCTTATTATGCAAAACTACTAATTAATCTGCATATTTGATTGCACAAGGGTGGCCTATTTCAGTGTTCACCCGAAGACAGGGGTTTAACTACAAAAATGAACGTGCTCGATGAATTCCACAGGCCAAAAAATGCTGTAACGACTCGAAACATTCTCGAAATTTCTCTGTCTGATACAATCAACGAGATTGCTTCAGCTCCATAGAAAATACGTGAAATACTGTAAAATTGACTACGATCAAGTTACGCATGGATTACGCATAAATCCACCAGATTTCACGGCTTGATTTTTCCGGTCTTAGTTTTCATAGAACATATGCTCGAATTGCTTTCACCGATATCACTTCGATTACTTCAATGTATTTTGACGACGAAAATCCAAATTTATACTCGGATTCATTGATTTGATGATTTTCACAGCTACCGTAAGGTGTCCTAGTTTATTTACGATACTTTTTCATAATGTCTCCCCGTATCCTCCGCTCGAAACGAGCATTTCGGGGCCGATAAAATTTACTGTTCTCTCATCTTCACGGTGTAGTGTGGAAGTTCGTCATTAACCTCAAGCCTGCCTCGCGCCATTTGTCATTGTGACGTATGATACGGCGGAGGGAAAGAGGAACCGGCCACGAGATATTACCGATGTTTTAACGATGAATAAAGCATCGGTCGACCGTAATGAAAATTTCAGTTCGATGTCCTCCGTTCGAGATTCAACATAAAAAGAAAAATACAATCTCACCGTGTCTTTTTTTTCTGAAGTTTATATCTCCGATTCGTATTTCCATGTAGCTTTTAAACGGCATGCTTTAAATGTCGACGGTCCTGCTTTTTAGACTCGCAATAACTTAAATACGAAATCAATAAAAGATCGGATGTATAATTTTTAGAAAAGTCGTAAAATGTATTTTTTAAATTATATTCATTTAAATATACGTTTAATAATACAGCATTTGTTAGTTTGTGTTCAGTATAATGCATTTATACAATGTAGAAAAATATTTAATAGTTAATATATATTCATTTAATATATTAAATTGATTTTTATTAATGTATATTTTTGTTAATGCATTATTTCCCTTCTTCTTTTGAAGCAAGTTTTCTAGAATTCATTTTTCCATTACACTTTCAGAAAATGTATAGAATTTGAATTAATAATGGTTCCCCCACCACCCTTCACTGTTTAGCAACAATGTACACATTCTATTTCGACGATATAAAGCACCGAGAAATCTCTTTAGTCAATTGAATATAATTTTTTTAAGTAAATTATAATTTAATGTCTCTTGGAACATACAGTAGCACTCTTCAATACGAAAAAGATATAAATAAATTCTCCAGGAAACCAATAAGAAGAGGTATATCTTTTTTCGGAGAAAAATAATACTTATGAAATGTTTATATTTAAATCCCATTCGCCCAGTTACAATTTTGAAAAAGTTTCAGTGATTTCATCGTTTTTGAAAGCGATGACCGTTTACAAAGTGATGTATCAGGTTATTTGGAAAGTTCGTTTTATACCTTTTATATGAATTAATTGAAACGAACTGCATGGTGCAGGAAATGAACTTTCCGAACAAAACTAATTTCATTGAGTTCATATAAAGGATGCGAAACGAACTTTTCGAACAGCCTGATATATTCGATAAAAATCAATATGAGAAATTTTTTTTTATTATTTGGCAAAAATAAACAATTAAATAGTAACTTCAAATACGATACCATAGACCCTTCTTCGAGGCTTCCATTGAATTCTTCGATCCGGAACACTGAAGATCGTGGGGTTTATTGTAACGGTGACCTCGATCACCGTTGTTTATACTGTAGAAAAGATTATTGGGAGACTATTGGCCCCGAATTAAGAAAGAACGTAATTTGCGCCGGTTTGACCGCCAACAGAAAGGATTAGCAAGAGCATGGAAATATCAATAGCCCCGCGGCAGTCAATCGGTCGACGCACGTAATACTTGAGGCCCGGTTCGGTTGTTCTCGGGAGCGCTCGGTCGAGCTCGGCCGGCCAGCATTGTCCCGTGTTGTCAGTTCGCGGCAAGCCAGCATCGCGTGCGGTTTGTGTGTCCCCATCCGGCGCGGCTAGCGGGAAAATGTGACAATTCAAACGGTTCGTCTGTCTCTCTGTGGTTAGAATTGGATCATACTCGCATCCCCCGAAAACATTCCGGTCAATTGGCCGTAGGAAATCAGCCGGCGTGTACAGTGAATCGATCTCTTACACCAGTGTCCAGTGTCGTGCGCGTTCCACCGGTTTGTGTGACAGTGTTGTGTGTATTGTGGCGAAACGATCCGCGGCCGAAAGAAGTAAATCGGCCTCGTGAAATGATCCGTAGCCTCTTCGTGCAGTTTCGACCGTGGAAACTAAGGATCGTGTCGGTATGTCCCCGTGTCCGTTGACTCGGGGTCGAAAGTCCTTGAGCCCGACGTTTTTCGGGCGTTTATCTTGATCGCGCGACAGCCCGGGAGAAAAAAAGCCGAGAGCAACCATAACCAAAGAGTTCCTCGTTGAAAACACTTGGGCATCGGTCGCGCGTCTACGTCCGTGACGTATCGTTCAAGGTAAGCGTCGTCGAACTGTACTTCGAAGTTTTGATTACGCGATCGCCCGTGGCATATCGAAACCTTTGCGAAAATATTGAGTGACAGGTTACCGGGAATACACGTCACAATATTGTACTTCATCAGTCATTCAGATAAAAGAGTAGACTGACAGTAATATATACGAGAGCGTGTCGTTTGTTTCGTGTCTCGAATACAGTTTGTCAAGATGTTGCGTTTTAGGTTAACCGGCAAGACGACATTACTGCGTGAAATTAGTGATGTATTGTATCGCGAATCGATAAATCGTGATGGTCAATTTAAAACTGTCAACCGTTTGGATCTCAATTTTATGGCCAGTTTCATCGACAGTAGAAACATGATTCTTCCACATTAAACGTATTTAATTTAGGATAAGTTCAGCAGAATGTGATTTATTTTGTACACGCTTTTCTCTAAACGGGTCTGTTAATTCATTCATTTGGGACGATTTTCTGTTTCAATGAACTTTGTAAATAGGAAGTTCGTTCGTTTCATAAGCGACATAACTATGCACGGCGTGTTTACATTCACGGCATAGTTACCCAGCTCGATCAAGTTTTCATTCTAACCAGGTTGTTCGGCGAATACTCTTTCTGATCTAAAATTTCAATCTTAAAGTCAGACAAATTAGTCAAATTAATCGAGGTGTCCGGAAATTTATACGGCCCATTTAAATTCGTATTCTGAAACGTTGCGCCGTATAATACCATGGTGTAGCGTTTTATGGTTACATTATACTGTGTTTAAAACACGCGAGCGACGTTTTTTTTGAAATTTCTTGGAAGTTTGTACGGTTTTATTGGACATTCGCAACTGTTGAATAATATTCCTCGGTTGCTGAATTTTACATAAATTATTTTATTCAATATTCTGCACTATCAGCAAGCCGGTTATCGAGCATACATTATAATAATTCTTAGAAGAATAACTTGAACATTTTGTTTAAAGTAGAAAGGTTAGACTTAATTGGAAAAAAATAGAAAACTGAAGTTAGTGTATATTATTCTATACATTTTACAAAGGTGACAGTAAGGATTGAAAACAGAAAGTATTTTGACAGTACAAGGGTTATTGTCATTATCTAAATGTTTAGTTAGAGGTAATCGGTATTGGATCAGTCTAAACGGATTTTAGCACAAAACCAGCGATTTCGAATAATTTCGTATTGTACAAACACTTTAGCGCCAGGAATAATAAGGCTGTCTATAGACATTGCCTCTTGTTCTACGCATCAACGAAACGCAAAAAGGATCGTACGGTTCTACAGACTGTCTGCGAATAGTCTACAGAACTACGCAGACAGTCCTCGGGCATTTACAGTTCTTGTATGAGAAATGTCTGCAAATAATGTTTGAGAGTACGAACAAAGCCTAGAGGGCTTCCCTAGTTCGACTGCGACGTTTGAGATTTTTTTAATGAAAAATAGTAAATACGAAATTTAATAGTAAAACTTTCCGCGATGTCGTATCTTAATCTTCGAAACGGGTACACAAATTTTGTGGTCGAAAATAATAATTCTATACAGAATTACAGTTCTACCTTGAGAAATTTGCCTACGTAAAGTAATAAACTGAACTACAAACATTTATGCAAAATAAAAATTGTCTGCATCAATTCCAAAACGTGTAGGAGCCAAGTGCTACTTTTTTTACTCCTTTAAATAACTTTAATAAGTTTGAATTAATACATCAATATTCTTATAGTTTCTTTTAATCTGTTTTTATGAAAAAAATGAAAAATAGTATCTAAAAAGGAAAATGTTTGCAAAAGATTAGTCTAGTTTTATTTGAATGTCTGCTAAGTTCGAAGTGAAAGTATAGAAGAATTTTATTAAAATTATTACTATCTAAGGAGATTTTTGTATAGATCTAGTTATCATAATTTGTCTCGCAGAAATGTATTTTCATATAAATATGACTGACGACGCCCACGCTAGATGATTTTGCAAAACAAGCTTTCATCAGAGGTCCGATCGATCAGATATCCATTCTCATCATGCTGCGGAGCTTTAGAATTTATAATCCAGCGAATCCATCTACTGTATATAGGAATGTGGAAGAATCTACTGTAATTTCAATACAACCTTTGAACTTTAAAAATGTCAGAATTAAATTTACACATTGAAATATTGAAGAAGTTATTCTAATCTTTCGTTTGTTTAATAATAGTTTGTTGTTGGCACATTTTAATTTAAATTGTCTAAAAAGGTGTTGAAACTGTTCATACAATATTTTAACTGCTTTAATTTGAAATACTTTGACTGGAAATATTTCAAATCACAATTTCAGTCAACTAACTTTTCGTCTCCATAGCACAATGAAAGTCGCAGGGTGCTATTAAACATTGTTATGGTAGCTACAAGTTTAATTAAATCTCACAGTGCAGACTCGGATAGCATGTTTCAAACGAATGCACACGGAAAATGGAGGATTTAGTCGAAGGCTTATCTTTGGCACAGCATTTCGTATGCCTATAATCTAAACAGAGCGAACGTATATGTGAAACGACGCGACGTAACGCTGACAGCTTTCAACAGTAACAATTGCGCGGTAGAACGAAGGAGGAAACGCTGCATAATTATACGGAACAAAACGCGTAGAAAGTATTCCGATTGCTAGAAGTACTTCATTGCTTGAAATGAAAAATATATTCCCCGCCAATATTAAAAATTGTACAGTCTTTTTCCACTTCATTAAATATTATTTTTTTTTATACATTTGAAACTGTAATTTTTAGTTGATCAATCAATATATTATGGATTTGCATGCAAAATACAAATTTTTGTCTCCTATTTGTGAAAAGCAGGAGTTACAGAAAGATATATTTGCTCTTTTAATAGTTTCAATAAATTAAGAATAATGTAACAACATCTTTTTTTGTTCTCTTTTTATCTTTTAATGCTTTGTATAAATGAATAAAATCTGCAGTCTATTAATCATTAATATTTCTTCTGTAACTTTGCAAAGAAAATTTCAATTCTGTAGTTTCTCTAGAATTCCACAATAACTAGAACAAATGGTAAAATAAACACTGTCTTCACCTATAATATTTTTGGATAAAAATCTTTAGACTTTAACTGCGAACTGGTGCGGGTCAAATTTAATTAATTTCTTCTTACAAAGACTTATAAACATTTTGAAAGGAAAGGAGATTCAGCCAACCGCATGTCGGCTCTTTAAACCCCGCGAGAAACTTTTCCCCGGATCATTGCACAAATTAGATTAATCTTCTCATTACGAAGGCTGGTAAACATTTCGAAAGCAAAGGAGATTCAGTGGTTGGAAAAAATTGCATATTTCGGGGGATTATTGCTAATTTCAATGCATCGAACCGCTTACCCGCGAGAAATTTTTCCTCGGATAATTACATAAATTAGATTAATATATCGATAACAGAGTTATTCACTCGGATTTAGAAATTCGTTTTTACGCTAATCTATTACACAGTGGGTAAATAACTATTATGCAGTGGGTAAACTTTTAAAACGCAATACATTTTTTAAAAACTGGACTAAATGACTTGAATTTTTTTTTTTAATCACTAAAACTTACGCACAATTAAATTACTTTTAATTTTACAATTTACAAATTACTAGTTTACTGCACAATGACGAAAATACGATTTTAAAAATTTTATTGTAACAAAAAAATTAAATCTCTCCTTTTTTATCGTTTTTATCTAAACCTGCAACGAGAATTTAAAATATGCGTGTGTAGGTCTCGGTAACTTATGTGCATGACGAAAACTTTAGCTCAGATAAAAAAATTGGAAAAACGTGGGCGAAATTAAAAAAAAATATTTTATTCATTGTTCAGTAGACTAGTTCCTCTAACAACTCCAAAAAGTTCAAGTAATTTAGTTCAATTTTGGTAGAGTTACACCGTTTGTAAAAATATACTAATACTCTTTTTACACACTGTATCTTCCAACTTTGGGATCCGCAAAACGTAATAATATTGAAAAAGATGTGATGCAACTTAACTCTTCATTTTTAATTTGATTGAATAAAACACTCTAATTTCATGAAATTTTGGTGGCTGTTAGCGTGGCAATCAAACTGTTAACACGTTCGCGGACGTGAATACTATGAGCAATCGTTTTCATTGTGATGCAAAGTGACACAAATACTATAACATTCAAATTTATAAGCCGCATTATCATGCGTTCAATTCTATGTAGCGTTTAGTTTTTGAAATTATTCTGCACTTTAATTTGATCTGTATCGACGCGGATGGATGCTGTAGCATTCATTTTATACATATAACCATTACAATGCGATATTCTGAGCACTCGGATAAAATGTGCCTAGTCAAAATTTGGATATCGGAATTAGTTTACCAATAAATCACCTTTTGCATCTCGTTAAAATTTTTACTGTTCGCGTACGTGTTAATCTTTTTATTACGAGAGCTGGCAAATGTTTCTCTCTCGAACGCAAAGGTTTGGCGCACGAAAAACTGTACGTATCGGAGGATTATTGCTAAATTCGCTACAGCGAACCGCGTGCCGGCTCTTTGAACACCGCGAAAAACTTTTCCCGGATGATTGCTGGTTCGCGGAGCTCGCGTGGATCGTCATCGCGATGGAAACGAAAGTTTACGACCGAGGGAAAAAGTTCGGTTGCGCGTAATGGGTTTTCAAGGTAAGACAGATAGTAATAAGCCCTTGAACCTGCGGGCGCTGCTCGTGCCTTAAGATCGATGTTGTAAGAAAGAACACCGCGGGGCCAGCGTTCTGATTGTTAAGGTTTTATTCAGCCGTTATTGCATCGGTCGTTAGCGCGGACCTCTATTTCATCTTCCTCTCGCGGTGTTACGATATTTCGAGCTGGTTTTTCCCCTCTTGCGAAGCCGCGGAAAGCGAAATCAGCTTGGCCCAGCTGATCCCGCCGTGTTCGCGATGCCGACGCGAGCTTTCCCCGTTCGGAAAACCTTTCCCGCTGGCTATCAATAATTTATGAGCCGGGGCTCCTTGCAATG